AATTATTCTAAACCGATTTTCACAATACTTTTTCAATCGATAGAGCTTAGATCTGTGTGTTAGTCTTAAATTAATTTTGTGACACGTTATTAATAAAAAAACATTTTTCTTTCTGGAGTTGAAAACCTTTGTTTGCATGGCTGTGTTTTGGTTTGAAGGGTGGGATATGGCGTGAATTTATTGGGTACAGGGGAATAACATCTGAATCCTCAGGAATGGCAGCGCATAGGGGATATCATGGGCGAAACAGTATACTCTGTTATGTCCATGGTACCTACTGCTCATGTCTATAGACGACGGTTACCACTTTCCATCAGGTGGCCGTCAGCTAGTTTGCCATTCTAAGTTGTATTATGTAAAAAAAAACTGGCAGGAAGCTGGTACTTAACACAATTGCTATCACTCGTGTAGCCATGTATGTCCTGGTATAGAATGGACCCTTTTTTCCCGTAAATGTCGTAAGAGGCGACTAAGGCAGCATAATGGTCTAGGGATGGGCAGCAGCGTCCCTCCAAAAACACCATCAAAGCGAAACTGCGAATGCTAACCCGCCTAACAAAAGTGGCAAGTATTGGCATCCTCCTACCTTATGAGGGAGGATTTGTTCAGCAGTGGACAGTTAAAGGCTGATATAATGATGATGATATAATGAATTAGTGGCTGACAATCATACAAATGCAATGGTCGAGGGATAGGCAGTGGCATCCCTCTTAAAACATCACCAAAGCTTAACTGCGGTCGCCAACCCGTCTAGCAAGCGTGGCAACTATTGGCAAAACCCCCATTTTATGGGAGAGGCTATGTTCAGTATTGAACAGTTAAAGATTGATGCAAAAAAAAAAAACTATCACTCGTGGTCATACATAACACATAACTCCATTTTCCAAGTTCACAGTCGGCTAACAATAAAATCCAGAAACAACAATTGTAAATATAAAAAGAGTCATCTGTGGACAATCGTACAATTTGACGTTGCCGAGGGGAGCCGTATCCGGTCACGTTTCCTCACTCGGTAGTTGGGTTCGATTCCGGTGTATTGGATTGGATGAAATGCATTGGATATTGGAGGATTCTGTATGTTTATCAATATAATCAGTGTGTGTGTGTGTGTGTGTATTTGTAACTTAACTACCCAACCGATGTACGGGATAATATTACTATTAGCGTTTTCCAAGGCACTTTCTCCCGCGCACAACCATTCTTTGGAATCAACTTCCAGCAGCAGTATTTCCGAACCGATACGACAACATAACCTTCAAGAAAAGAGCATATTCCTTTTTAAAAAGCCGGCAGTACACCTGCAATGCCGTAGGTGTTGTAGGTGACCATGGGCGGCGGTAGTCACTTACCATCCGGTGAGCCGCATGCTCGTTTGCCCCCTGTGTTGTAAAAAAAAGCAACATCGAATGTAAATTAAAACGATACTTCTTGCATGATATTAATACAAATTAAATAATTTGAATGTATTTACTATTAATGTAAACCTACGTGATTTCTGAACGCTAATGTAACAGAATTTCTGTAACTGTATTTTTGTGATAATAAATAAAAAAAAAAAAACTAGCTGGTCCGATAGATGTCGCCTTGTCAGAAGCTGTTGAAATGTTTGGTTTGGCAGCAGGGAACAGTTTTTATCGGGAAAAGAGAAAAGAGATTTTTTTAAATTTTTCCTTTTTCGTAAAACTATATAAATATATACCAGTATAAATATATACCAGTGGACAGTTAACGGCTGATGTGATATTAAGATACATACATTTGTTTTCTCAAATATTCATTAAAGTTAATATTAAATATCCTGTAATTACTTAGATACTTCCAAACAAGGAAAAAAAAAACAATAAAACACATCTGTAGAAAAGGCTCCGAACCCCTGCTTCATTAAAAAAAAAAAACATATTTCCTCGAGATTCAGGAAACAAGCGGAGGGAACACCTGCGGACGGTTCACGGGCCGGCTTCCGCTCTTCGTCCGCCATCTTGTATGCCATTACTGTTAATTACTCACTGTAGGGAGCTCGCTAGTGTTTCAGATGAAAAAGGAAAATGGCAAGAAAATGTTTATGACCTCTGACTGCAGAAGTAATCTTGTAACACCGCGTATCAAATGGGATATATAACATATATAATGCATAGTATGTTATATATGTTTAACAACACAATAGTTTTTTTTTTCTTTTTTATTTAGAGGCTTTTATCCTATAAGGATATGTCAGCCTCGTCATACCCTAATTTTAAAAAATACGTCACATACTTAAAACATTGATACATAAATAAATAATACATAATAACTCAGTAGTGTATTTTGATGAAGGGAATCATTGATACAAAAATATAGTAATTAAAGATTTTGCCATTCCGGAATGTGGCTCTGCGAGTATATTTGAAAACAAACCAATCTCCTGTCTATTGAGACTGTATTTCTGTATCAATACTTCCATTTGTGTTTTGTATTTCATACATTCGGATATCATATGGTGAACATCATCCAATTTGTTTTTTTTTTTTTTGATGGGTGAAATTGGTATAATAACCCCGCCTGCGCTAACGGGATACGCTGGCGGAGCACCAGTGAAGGGTGATAGATGAGAATGAAAACAGGCCAGTTAGCCCATCATGATGAATTCATCAGGAACTAACCATGATAGTTTCCAGGGGGTACCGCGACGAGGTCGACCTGGTTGGCTATATTGCTAGCAATGGGATTCTCAGTCTCCATTACTAACAATCCCTTTCCCCCAACATCATCCAATGTGTTACAGACATCAACACTACAATAATTATAAAGTACAAGTTTGCAACTTAAGAAAAGTAGGTACACGATTCGATTGTTGTATTTTTTGTTTTTTTTTTTTTATGTTTATTACCTTATAACTCCGTCAGTTCTAAACCGATTTTAAAAATTCTTTTTTTATCTGAAAGGATATATCTACAGATTGGTTCCATAGAAATTTTATCAAAAACAATCTAGTAGTTTACTTTTCAAAGCAAAATAACTGTTTTACCCACAATTTAAATCAGTTTTTTCTTATTAAAAATGTCAGATCTGTTTTTTTCGTTCTTTATTGTATGGAAATATAATTTTATTGTACAAAAAGAAATTTTAAGCTTTGCTCACTAATTGTACTACCTTGTTTTGTCCCTTTCTTTCAAATTAGGCATTTAGCACAAAATAAAGAGACAAAACAGTTCAATAGTAGTTCATTACAACAAATTTATAAGAAGTATGACGATTTTTATGATTAAGGGGCTAAATTTATTTATTTACACTTTAGAAACCAATAAAATGTGGTCCAAAAGGCGGACTTAATGCCATAAATGTTCTCTATCAGTCAACCTTTAGGATGTACAAAGATATTCGATGGCGATTTTTTAAAATATAATTATTTATATTTTAGTATAAGATGATAATTACATACATACAAACATTCATAAAATAAATATGCATATATAATATATATATATATATATATATATATATATATATATATATATATATATATACACTAGATATATATATATATATATAAAATCTCTAAATATTTTTTTAAGAAACCGGTTATAAAAATTCCTACATGAAAATGAGGTGTAAGCTTTACCGTACAAAAACCGGTTAAAAATCGGACGCACCTATAATATCTTGGTAAGAAACACTTTCCCGTGGCCGGGTACGTTGGGGGAGGCGCCCGCCGTGACGACTGCATCGATCCGTCACGCCCCGCGCCTCAATCGATACCCGGGTGTGACCGGTTTGTTTTGATTTTATCCGGCTTATCAAACTAACGGTACGATATGGTTTTCATAGTATTAAACACCCGGTTATAACCGGGTTACTTTTATCCGGATAATTTAAAACCGGGTAAATTTATTTTACATGAGATGTAATGAGACTGAATGAATGAACGATATCTAAATTCAGTCAAAAGTAAATTTGAATACAATATTTGATTTCAAATCTTCTGTTAGGCACTTTCATTTCCTATAGATTTTAAATAGACAGTTTCTAGCCATACTTAGTTTTTTTTTATTATTGATGGGTGAAAATGGTATGGTAACCCCGCCTGCGCTAACGGGATACGCCGGTCAAGCACCAGTGAAGGGTGATAGATGAGAATGAGAACAGGCCAGTTAGCCCATCATGATGAATTCATCAGGAATTAACCATGATAGTTTCCAGGGGGAACCGCGAGGAGGTCGACACAGATCTTGGAATTCAGCACAATGAATCTAGAGACCACGATGATTGGAAAGGGTATATTGCCAGCAATGGGACTGACAGCATTTCTAACCCCTTCCCCTCTCTTTCACCATTTCTGAGGCCTAAGATTGTTAGGGTCAAAACTTCAGAGACTGCATTGGCTACCATGCCTTTCAAATTGAAACTCTACGTAGTTACTTCGAGCTTATAACTATTAAATACTTTGATCTGGGTATAGCACGGATATGACCGTTGGCTACATCGATCGCGAGTTTCGGTCGGTTGCGTGCCGATCGATGGACCGGTTCATGGCCGGTTGAGCCGGTACATTTATAATGTCCTTTTTGTTACGTCACAATATGGGGTGCTTCCAAAAGGGAGGTACTGTCTCTTCAGAGTCAACCATACAACACTCCTGATGTTGCCAACATTATAAATGCTGGCAACATTAGAGGATCTTTGCATTTCCAACCTACATTATTCAAGGATTATGAAATGGCAATATCACATTTGAAATCGCAACACAATATATATAGCAAGCTCTTTACCAGGGTACAGAGGAATAACACCTGAGTTCTCAGGGATGGCAACACATGGGGGGTATCATAGGCGAAACAGTATACTCTGTTATGTCCATGGTACTGCTCATGTCTATAGGCGACGGTTACCATTTTCCATCAGCTTGTTTGCCATTCTAAGTTGGATTAAAAAAAATTTTGATACTGTGTGCGGAAAATGAAGACACGGAGTTTTATACAATCCTCTTCTGGTGAATTTACTTATCTTTCGTATTTCTTCATCAGGTCACGGCGGCGTCAATCAACTAGGCGGTGTGTTTGTGAACGGTCGACCTTTGCCGGACGTGGTACGCCAGAGGATAGTGGAGCTGGCCCACAGTGGGGTGCGCCCGTGCGACATCAGCCGGCAGCTGCGGGTGTCTCACGGCTGTGTTTCCAAAATACTGTCCAGGTTAGTAAAGCCATATGTAAGTGTTTGACACACACGTCGTGATGCCTCTCTCTTTGTGTGTGCGTGCGTGCGTGCGTGCGTGCCTGCGTGCGTGTATGTATATATGTGTGCGTGCGTGTGTGCGTATGTATGCATGTGTGTGCGTGCGTGTGCATGTGTGTGTGTGTGTGTGTGTGTGTTTATTTTAAATGAGTTAAAATGAAATAGTGACATAGCGACCTCGTTTACCCTATCAATATATGTGTATAGGTGGGCCACCAGTAAGGGATAATAGGTGAGAAAGAAAGCGAGTCAGGACGAATTCGGTAATTATTAACCACGGTATACACGAATTGATTATATCCTATTAAATCCTAAAGTATCCTAAAGTATTGATGCATGTGTGCAAAGCCATAGGAAACAGCTAGTCTATATTTCTATAATAATATTATAAAGAGAAAAGGTTTGATTGTTAAGCTGTTAAGGCGTCATAAGGTAACAAACAAACACACTCTCTTTCACATTTATATTATTAGTAAGGATGAATAGTCTGGCTGGTTACTACTTTCCATCAGGTGGGCCGTTAGCTTGTTTGCCATTCTAAGTTCTATAAAATTATGGTTTCCAGGGGAAACTGCGTGGAGGTGGATCTGAGAGGGATATATTGCTAGCAATGGGGCTATTAGACTTCATTACTAACAATGCCATCCCCCCCCCCCCCCCGGCCGATTGTATATTTAAAATATGGTAGAATTTTCTTTAGAATAATCACAGCAATCAGAGACTAGACGATAGACGAGTGTACTGTTCCCTTTCGGCACAATGTACGTGCAGACGATCCATAAAACACCGTCATGGCTCATGAACAAACCGGCGCGTGCGCCTACTTCGCCGTATCCGCTTGTCTAGGGTTGCCACATGTAATTAATAAAAATAATTGGCTTTTTTTATACGACTTCGAGATTAAACGACTCAAAATCAAGATGTTACCTCTCTTTGTGTCTTTATCACTTTTTTATAGTACTATGGTGATAAACATGCATAAGGCCTGTCTGATAGTAAACAGTGATATTGTAGCCTATGAACTTCCTGTAATGCCAGGGATGAGTACTTTTTTTTTAATAGATGTTAATGGAATGGTAACTTTGCCTGCGCTATCGGTATACACCTATAGGTATCAAAGAGGAATGATAGGTGAGCATGAAAGCATGTCAGTTAGTCCATAGTGAAGAATTTTACAAGAATCAATCAAAATAGTTTTTTCAAGGGGAACTGCATGAAGGTAAACTTGATAGGGTATATTGCTAGCAATGGTGTAGTTAGATTCCCATTACTAACAATCCCTTTGCCCTTGAGATACGTGCGTTGTCTACCTTTAAGAAGTTTCAGCTTGACAGAATAGTTTTTATCCCAACAAATAACTAACAAATAATAAAAAAAAAAAACTAAACAAATAATAATATAGAGGATGATTATATTTGTCGGGTCATCTATTAATAAATATATACATGACATATAATCACATAGATAGATAGATAGATACTCTTTATTGTTTCCTCCAAAAGATTACAATAGTAAACTTATTATAGATATAAACAATTACAAGAAATAATCACAGTGAGAAAACAATGGGCGACCTTATCGCTAAGAGCGATCTCTTGCAGGCAACCTTTGGATGGAGAGGAGTAATTATAAACAGTTTGATCGGAGGCACGATGAAGATCCTATTATTTCTAAATTTATATTATATTAAATTTTTATTTGTAAAGTAATTATTTCTTGTAATTGTTTATATTTATAATAAGTTTACTATTGTAATCTTTTGGAGGAAACAATAAAGAGTATCTATCTAACTATTAATTTTACAGGATGTTACTTATCCCGAAAGTTGCAACGAAAATTGCGAGTTAGTACTAGTATCTTATTCTAAATAAATAACCTTGTATGTTTGATCAACCAAATTAAAAAAGTAGAAGGTTCTAAATTTAATCGTATATTTTTTTACATTTCTTACCTTATAACTCCGCGAATTGTAAACTAATTTAAAGATTTTTTGGAAAAGATATACTTACAGATTGGTCCTGTAGAAATTTTATCAAAATCGGTTCAGTGATTTAGTTTTTAAATTAAAACAACTAGTTTTGCCACAATTTCAATCGAAATTTTATTGTCGGACACAATTTTAATTATTCCACGATAGAGTTTCCGTCTACTTGAAAATACCAATGTGTTGGCAACCCTAGCTAGTCTAGTACACTTATGTCATTTTCTTTTGTTCTCCGTTTGTGTAACGCATCTCTGCAGTAATTGGCCGCGAGTGTAATTTGTATTGTCCCCGGGGTTTTTTGTTCAAGTTATTTTTACGTTGGAACTAGATTTATTTTGGCATGATTGTGTGGCGCGCGCCACGACCCGTCATTTGATCGTCAAGATAATTTATGTCATCATTTCGTACTCAGTTTACATATTAGTCTATTTATATCTATTTTTAATTTTTCTATTTTTACCTATTTCTCTGTTTGGACCAACGGTTGATTGGTAGTGAACACGATTCAGCGTTAAGTTCGCCAAATGTAACATACATACATACATTTACACTGTGCATTAAAGTATTAAATTAATAAATATTGGTACAATACACGTGTTGTTACATACAAACAAAAAAAAAAAAAATATAAATATATATATATATATATATATATATATATATATATATATATATATAAATATATATAAAGTACCAAAAAAAAGGAATCATCAAACTCGTTCAAAATTTACGAAGATATTGCGTAACATACATACACACAATTAAAACACAATAGAATTGACAGTCTGTTATTGTATCAATTTGATTTCTCTATCTATCCTTTACCTTGCTTGCCCACCTACACTATCCCTATTTTCCGTATTTGACTTTAGTTCTACTATATTAAGCAGATCAAGTTAAACGCCCTACTCATTTGCGGTAACCCGACGCTTAACTGCAGTTATCTAGCTAAGTTAACTAAGCCACAGAACTTGACTACTAACCGAGTGCTTAGATTTATCTAATGAGTGTAATTTAGCAGATGCAGTGTTACAAGTCAGGACATAGTAGTCAGCATATAGTTTGTATATATATATAAATATATATATATATATATTTATATATATATACAAACATAATGATTTTTCATACTACTTAGAATGGCAACCAAGCTGACGGCCCACCTGATGGAAAGTGGTAACCGTCGCCTATCAGAGTATACTATCGCATAACAGAGTATACTGTTTCGCCTATGATACCCCCTATGCGTTGCCATTCCTGAGGACTCAGGTGTTATTCCTCTGTACCCAGTAAATTCATGCAATATCCTACCCTTCAAACCGAAACACAGCCATGCAAACACAACTGCTTCACGGTTGAAACACGAATGGGACAGAGGTACACAAGCAATCGACTTTTGTACAAAGTCTCCCTTTGGGTCGCCACATAGAAACCTTTTTTCCCCATCGGTTATCGATTCTTCGAGCAATACGACCAGTCCATGGCCACCTTAGCTCGCTTACCCTTAACACAAACAAAATACACCTATTTTACTGTGTATTAAATGATAAAACTTTGATTAAAATACCCTGTTCTAAAACAGAGCCCGATGTAATTTCAATATATTCAGAATAATAAGAACGCGGGGGCCGCTCGGACTGGCTATTGTTTGTTTTAAATTGAAAATTGACCTCTAGTGGTGAGACGAGTCCCGGGAGTGGTCGCGGGAATTCCGGGATTATTATTACAATGTCGCAAACATATTTTTCATATTTATAAAAATAAATTCATCATCATCATCGTCATCAGCCGTTATCTGTCCACTGCTGAACATTAAGACACCCTCATAGACTGGCACAAGGTCTATGAGGGTGATCGGTGATCAACGGTCCTGAGCCACCTGTATTCATTAAAATAAAAATGAAATGTAAATGGTTTGAAGGGTTTTTTTTAATGGGCGATGATGGTATGATAACCCCGCCTGCGCTATCGGTATATACCGGCAGGGCATCAGTGAGAAATGACAGATGAGGATGAAAGCAGGTCAGTTAGCCCATCCTGACAAATTCAACTGGAATTAATCACGATGGTTTCCAGGGGGAACCACGTGGAGGTCGATATAGTAGGGTGTATTGCTAGTAATGGGGCAGTTAGCTCTATTACTAACAATACCTTTTCCCCCTGGTTTGAAGGATTGGATATGGCAGTGAATTTACAAGGTATAGAGGAATAATACCTGAGTCCTCAGGAATGGCAACGCATGGGAGGTACCATGGGTGAAACAGTATACTCTGTTATATTCATGGTACTGCTAATGTCTATAGGCGACGGTTACCACCTTCGATCAGATGCGCCGTCAGCTTGTTTACCACTCTAAGTTGCATAAAAAAAAATGACTAGCTAAATATGTTTCTAACTGCAAAAATCTAGAACTAGTTTAGTCAAACTAATTCGACAATTTTTTTTTTTAATTTTTATTAAAAATCGAAGAAGGTTCTTTTTGCGACATGTGATAGTACAAATGCCTACAGAAGTAAGATTCGATGTTCTGCCTGATGAAACTATGCCTCGGTCTCCCTCTCCCCCTCCTTCCTTCTATCTTACCTTCTATTATAATGTTCATAAGTTCGTCGTGTCGTATCAAGTGTCCCAACATTTTCTTCCTTCTGTCCTCAATAGTTCTAATAATTTGTCTCTTTTCCTTAACCTTAAGCAGGAATGCATAACATATATGATGCAAAAATAATACAACAAATAATAAGTACTATTTTTCTAACTTTCCTAGAATCTGTGTACATCTATGAATTTTAAATGGACTCCAAATGGTAGCGTTATTTTCCAGCCTTTTACAGGAGTCGTCGAGTGTCGGGTCAGCAAAATTAAAATTGTTTTTTTTTTTTTTTATACAACTTAGAATGGCAAACAAGCTAACGGCCCACCTGATGGAAAGTGGTAACCGTCGCCTATAGACATGAGCAGTACCATGCACATAACA